ACTAAGCGAACGCGAAAGAGACTAGCTCTTTTAGTAAGTCTATATAAGACTTACTACTTTCAATATGTAGCTAGCTCTTTAGACAGAATACAATTAGACATACAGGACCTACGTAATCCGTGGGTGCTACGTCTTCCGTATCCTTCTCGTACCAACAATAACCTTCAAAGCTGTATATTTACAATCATTTACTATTCAGAATATGAAAGCTGGTTTTCGAAAAGCAGGTCTAATACCATTCGATCCTCAATCTATACTCTCAAAACTAGATATTAGGATTCGTACTTCTACCTCTTTATCTATCTTTTTGGAATTTACCAACTTCTAGATCTCTTAAATCTTTTATAATCTAATTGAGGTTCTCTTATAATCAACTCTAGTAAAAGCTTGAATAACTCGTTATCAATCAAGCTCTTCTATATCTATATTTGAGATTATACAAGCTTTAATTAAAGATACAAAGAGATTAGTATATAAAGTTATACTTTTGAGTGTTGAGAATCGTATGTTTCGAAGAGCAAATAAAATATTAAGTAAACATCAACACGCTAAAAAAATTCAACTATATAATGAAGGAGTATTTATTGGACAAGAAGCTAAAGATATATTATTACAACAAAAGGTTGATAATCAGATTCAATACGATAAACATCAAAATGAGGGAAATTCTAATAGGGAATCTGTTAAAAGGAATGACCTCACACAGGGAATAGTGGGAAGCTGATAGGGCAGAACTGAGGTAATATTGGTCTAGTAGGTTAATCTCTCTTCTAAGTTCTACGGAAGTGCGAAGCTCTCTTACAGAGAGTTTCTCAATCTAGTCCTAACAGGACTAGTGCCCTGTGCACGTGCTACGCAGGAACCATTCACTTTAACAGAATCATCTATTAGTCGATGCTGTAGTAAGTATGGAAAGACTGGTCATAATTCAAGAACTTGTCAGAATAGTATAATAGATCCTAGATTATTAGATTCTTGATAGTTTCAATCAATTGATTTAATTGTTGTTAAATAATATGGGTTTGAAATGATAAATTGAGGTAAAAGTGGCCCGCTCGGTGATATGGCCCGCTCGCTGATAAACCACGTTATAAGGTTTTTGAGCCAGAATCTCAAAAAATATCAGGTGATCAGTCTCGATTATTGATTATGGATAATTATTCCAATTATATTATAGGAAGTTTGATTGCTTTCTATATTGAAAAAAAGATTGATTTTTTTATTCTATTATCTTATTGTTCGTATCTACTTTAGTTACTGGATATTGGAGTGTATAGGCCAATGAAGCGATATCATATTCAAGAGGTTGATCAATACTCCTAAACAGGAATACAACGAATACAACGATCTAATTGGGTATAACTTTTTCAGAAAATAAAAGAAAAAGGTCTTATTTATCAAAATATCAAAAGCGAATGGAAAGAGGCAGGTTTGAATCTATTTAGTCCTCGTCAAGTTCTGAATAATCTTCAGCCTTGCTTTTATCACTACCTATTAAAAGATTGGGTGGAAGAGGCCTCTATATTGACTATATTACTACGTCTGTAGGCATATTAAGATCTCCTCTTGGTATCCTCGGAGGGGACCAATATGCCTGCTTATGGTTCGTCTAATCTAGCCTGTTTAGGTAACCGTATTACTAATCACGACACGTGATTAGTACCGGTAACTTCTATTCCTTTTAACACTACCTTCTATTCTAAATATATTATCAAATCTAGAAGATCTAGATCTTTCTTTATTTAATAGTTTTCCCCTAAATGATATTGAGCTACGATAAGCAAATCAGATATTCAATTCAGTTTTATCTGCTAATAATCTGCTTACTTCTCCAGTACAGAGATATACAAAGCGAATTACTCATCAGATTGAAAGCTTAAATGCTGAAAATACTATTTTTCGAAAGGAACTTCAAGAATATAAAGAATTATTTGAGATATAAAAGAAACGAAAAAATAGAAAGAGAATAAAATTAAAAAATGAATTTGTATTTAGTATTAAGGAAGTATTGAAAATTATTAAGGAGGTTGAATAGATACTTTTACTAAAACGACAATATGATAGACTATCCAAGTGTCAAATTGATTAGGTAGAAGAGGAAATGAAAGAAGAAGAGGATAGTGATAGTTCAATTGGATCAGTGATAGTTGTAGATCATCCTGTATGTTACGTGACGGTTGTTATCCCACTAGTGGCTCACGTGCACTAGCCCTGTATATAAAGACCTTCTTACTTAGAATCTTCTTAGTTCTTTAGTTTTAGATTCTAAGTAATTGAATTGACTCCGTTTACGACTTTTCCGTCACACTGTAGTATACAGGACAGGGTCAAATAGGAAAATATGATTTTTGTGATCTATATCATGATGTGACGGAAATCCCTGCTTTCCTCCCACCTTTATTATATAAGAAACCTCAGGTACATTAACCATGTCCACACATGATACGATTACTCGAGATTAGTATGCGATTTAGGTGACCTGAGGATCAGATCCGGACAAGTACTAGGTATCAATGGTTATCGGTAAAGTAAGATCATTGGAGGAATAAATATGACTTCTTTTTGCCTAGCCATTGCGGCTAGGCCATTCATTTGTGTATATATAGAGTAGCTATCCCCATCTACAGGTGCTCTTCACCTGTAGATTCTAAGTTAAATACAATTGCTGGTCTATAAACACCCTTTTGGTCACACATGACATGACCCACTTCTAGTCAAGTTATGTTAATAAAAATATAATTCAACTTTTATTAAATTTTGTTTATTTATTATAAACTTATTAATATATAAAAATGATGATTTTTGATACAAAAAGATAAATAGTCCAAAAGTAAGATACTAGACTTAAATACAATTTATCCTCTCAAAGGTTCTCCATCTAGTGATCAATGATATCTTCATGTCATATGTCTATCGCTCTATAACCTGAGAAGATCACTTAACAACATGTAGTACGGCGAAATCGTGAAAGCGTAGAATGATACTAGATTAATGTTCTCTAACAAAGTTTTACTACTAGGAATGTGACTTGGACCGACTCAACACCATCTCCATAGCTATTGAAACGCAACTCATACCCATACCACCACTAACGCCATACAGTCCTCATTCGATTAAAGCCGTCAGATTCCAAAGAATTTCTCTAGACGATCCCGAATAAAGATCAAACCATAAATGCCGATAGTGAATTATTTTAACCCCCTAGGTGCATGCACCTCATCACAAGATCCCGACCCATTAAGGACTTTTGGTAGCAGCCAATAACTGTTGCCTCAATCTCTCATCCGCGCTCATTTCCTGCATTTCCAAGCTCTGTTGGTGAGTGTCCACCTGTTGCGATTCCTCTTGTCCCGGTTCCTCAACATGCAAAAGTTCCGGACTATTACTCCCACTTTTATAATCTTCGACAGGTTCTGGAGTTTGTTGATAAGGGCTTCCGCTTCCGTTTTCCTGATTTGAGTTCTGAATACCCGAGGCCAGTGCCAAGACACCATGAAATCTTGCGCTCTCTTCATTTCCTGCCAATCTTGCTCTTTCTTCCGCCTCTTTCCTCGCCGCTTGAGTTGGTGCTCTTGTCTTTAGTTCACCAGTTACGCATTGAAGATAGTATGGAACCTCGATATTGCTCTTGAGGAAGAATAGTTTGAGGTTCCGCGCTTTGTCTTTGAGCTGAACTTGGTTCCTATCACGCAAAATAGTGCTGACCGAACCCTTGTCGCCATAGAGAGCAAGAATCTGACTCCAGTGTGGACCTTTGACCGAATCGAGACCAGCCATTAATGCATTTTCCTCTTCTGTACTCCATGGACGACGTTGAGATGGTAATCCAGGTCGGGCTTTTTGCCCTGGATTATTCTTTGCCGCAGCAGCTTGTCTAGCTTTTTCGTAAAGAGCAGATGTCGACTCTGATTGAGAATGGTGTGGTGTAGTTGTAGGTGTATTACTAGTACTATACTGAGTTGGGTAAGTGTTTGGCGATTGGCTCGGCGGTTGATAGGTATTTTGGTATTGAGCTTGGCGATATCCTTTGTAAAATTAGCCATATATTAAAATGAATCCTCCATTGTAACCATACCATTCTGCGGGATACTCGATTGCTGATATACATCTGCCTCTTCGGAGCTTTTTTGAGCTGCATGCTCAGCTTCTACATTGGTACCGGTGTACGCAAAAGCATTTCCATTCAGGGTACCACCATTTGCGCCTTGCGAATACCCGGTCGAGGTTGGGATTGTTAGAGAATACTTATTCATATAAGGTTCAACTAATGGCCTGTATGCGTCCATATGAATGTGTGTGGATCTTAGAAAAGACTCCCAGTTGAAAAGATTACAGAGTTCGTCTGCAGATTTGTCAGTGTGAGAAAAGTAACGCGGGGTAAATCCTTACTTATTTTGGCAGGATCATTCCCTTGGTTGATTAAGTATACTCGTCGGATTTCCAAGTCAAGAAGTAATTGTCGCTCATCGTCTGTGAGAGGATAGGGATGTCTCTGAGCAAGAAAATTGCGGATTTCTGAACTAAACATCTCTGCTATGAGCTCTGGGACAGGTCTATCTGACTCTTCCATTGATAGCGCGGCGACGATGATTTGCGTCTTCAAGTTCATAAGCAATTGACCCGATGCTTTTGATATGGGCTCTCCTTCCCTTGTCCAGATGTCGACAAAATGTTCGTTGAGTTCATAAAATCCAACCTCTTGTCCGCCAAATACACTCGTTACAAAAGTCGCATGGTTTGCAAGTCTGATAATCTCTCGTTGCGCAGGGTCTCTAAAATTGAGTTGGTCGGCGGAGAGGAAGGTTGAAGTGCCGTAAATCTTTTTGGTTCTATCGAATAGGTCCTTCAGGGTTTGGAATGACTGGCCACGAGGAGTGTCTCTTTGTGTTACCATGACGACTACATCGTCGTATCCTCCTTCGGAAAGAATATTTAACATTTGCACGGACTGCAGATACATTAGGGATGTTCATGTTGTTTCAACTTGGAGATATCCATACCAAACTTTCCAAGGACAATAGACTTAACACCTGCAAAGATAATTGATGATCGGTACGGAGCCGTTCAAAAGCGGCCCGGTTGTTCGGTGATTGACTGTGGGAATGAGGAGATTGAATGGCGATATTTCTCTCATGTAATTGATCTTGATGAGAGGTATGATCATTCATTCCCATGCTTCCTGCATCTTGATACTCGGCAGAAACGTGAGCCACGCCAGAGGCAATAATAGCATCGATGTCGAGATCTCCCAAAGAATCATCTACGTCATTCGTATGTTCAAAAGCTGCATTTGCATCCGTAGAATCGGGTAGAGTAGGTTGTGCCGCTTCATATTCAATTCTCTGTCTCTTTTCTGGTGAATCCAGCTGTTCTGAAGAAGCTCTCCGTTTCAATCCAGGTGATTGAGGCGAAGTCGAGGAGGCATTGGGAGAGCGTTCGAGTTTGATTGGAACATCTGCAAAGAGCGTTTTGTTAGAGTGACGAAGTGCAAAATAAAAATGGGGTGTGGTGGAGGTGGTGTGTTTGCGGAGGGTTTCCTTTGCAGTCTTTCTGACCTTCCCCGTTGTCTTCTGTCTGAAAACTTACCATCATTAGATGAAGCCATTGTTAATGAGTTAGTAGAAGATTCTGCCATGGTTGGAGTCGCATAGAAATCTGGAGAAAAGTGCTTCTCGTTTGAAACTTTTATGATAAATTCTGCACGCGCTACAGAGAATTTTAGATTGTGCTAAATCTAACTAAAGCGTCATGAACTAACTTTCTTTCCTTAGTCATCATAATCTAGCCCTGAACTTTGAACCCAATCAAAAAAACCCCAACCCTGAAGAATAAGATACACAGAAGAAAAAGCCGAGAATGAAAATTATTTGGCAATATTCAATATTCGATATTCGATATTCGATATTGATTCATTCCGACGATACGGTCTTGTTCATGTTCATATTGACACTGAGGTTAATATCCAACATGGAGGAAATAATGTGATTTTGTTTGATGTTTTCGATTTATGATCTGCCGACAAATGGATTTATCAAGTGGTCAATTGCCAGAGCTCCTACCCAATTTCGTGTACGAAAGTTTGAGATTTTGGGTAGGCCATCGATTGAAGGCCATGAAGACAAAGATCAAGGAGGAAGTTAACATTCACACAATATTGTACCATAGAATCAGGATTGCAATATCTTTAGACCATACATCTCATATTTCATCACAATATTGAAGGGCTTTTTTGTACGCACTCAACCAAATGAACACGGACAGATTGTAAATTGGAAGAAGGGGTTAGGTATTGGTCATGTCAGGCAACATCTCCATTTACATCATCTCCACTCAAAAGCTTAGAAAGATAAGTACTTGTGAATCTAGGATCATTTTAACATTATATATATATATATCAATAACTTAGGAATTACCTGGTCACCGAGATCGCAAAGATATTGTCATCATCATCATTTTCCTGCATCTGTGCATGCTTCCCTCGTAGATACTACCTACTCCAGTTAAGAAGATGATTCTCATGTAACATTTTAAAATACTGCGATGTGGAATTGAAATACCCGCACCAGTTCACCCTCCACCATTCATATGTACTTAGTATGTATGCTCAATCTCGTCCATAAGCAATGATTTAACAAGTAGGATTGCTCTCCTCAACCATGCCCCTACCTGCGTTTGAGTTCCATGAATTCCGTAAATAACGAAGTTCAATTTGAATGTCAACATATCCACTCGAATATGCTTTCCCAAATGCATTTCAGGATCCCACCATGACACCTCAGATCAAAAGCGATTTGAGGTAAATTGGTTGATATGAGGGACCTTCTACCGATGCAATTTCGATCTCCAACACTCATCAGACAAAAACTTGTTGGCCACATGATTGGGGAACCTTGGCAGGTCTTGTCAATAAAGCAATTTACCTCATTCAGTAACGCTGATCATATATCTACCTGCTGCGACAAGTACCATCTGTCAGTACCTTAGTCTTTCCTCTATACATATTTTTCACATCGAAAGTAAGGCAGCGGTGAAGTGCTCCGTACGCATTTTAGAATAGACATACATAATAAGGGATGAGTTCGCTATCAGAGGTCAGGAAGCACATCGACTATCGCTTTACGTCTTGAGTGGATGCGTACATGAATGAGAAGTGATGCTCCATGAGGATCTGAAGCGCAAGATTAAAGTACGTGAATTGAGTCGGAATCCATACAAAGTGGCATAAATAGGATTTGGTCTTCTAGATGCTCGCCGTCTCCGTTTTTGAATTGATCGAATCAAATATTGAACACGATGTGTGTTTGTGTATGCTCTGGATGCTGTGTATGCCGAGCTGTCAATCGCTGTCCACAATTTGACCGAGTGTAGTGTCATTGGGTCCAACGAAAACACTGCATTGAATGTGGGTAACGCGTGGTGGACGCATCCGAGTAAACCTAATTTCAGATGGAGAAGAGAATTAAGTTAATGACCTCGGGAGTGAAAGATCAATCAGAGGATCAAGTTCCTTATAGAAAGTTCCTCTCATCATTAAATATTGATTTAGAATCTGATATATATATTAATATATAAAATATTTACAATAATCAATTTCTGAATATTTAATCATTAATGATATATTCTTTATTATGTTTTAATAGAGTAACATATATTGAACTAGTATTTGAAATAAAATATTTTTATTAATAATATTTAATTATTATATATACTGAATCCTCGATCAGTTGTTATACATTGGCCCTTAACTAATAAATACCTTGTAGTATTGATGCGCAGAAATTCCACTCCCTTCAGGTACAAAATCTGGAGAAATGGAAACGTTTTGATTCTTTTTCCAGGTATTAGCTAGGGACTAGGTATGTAGTCCTGCACAAACCATTGATAGTCTTGAAAGACTTGGTTGATGATGGCCTGACTTAAAGTTGTATAATCCGTGACTTTCCGTATCAAAGACATCTATCTAGTCCGTACTTTCATGTCTACACCAGTCAGGTTTAGGGCCCGTAGGGTTGTTGATGACTTGTTATTCAAATATAGATGCTATTCCTTCTGAACTTTTAGAAACCAGCCGCGGTGACACTTGCCAAGCTGGCAGAGTGACCTTACAGCCATACAACTTTTGATGGTGGGGTAGTTCTTTTTTCGAAAAAGGCATATATCCCAGTATGGCAGTATGCAGAATCCCCAGCTCCCAGACAGCTTCCAGGGTAGGACAAGGCTGTTTTAACCTTTCCCAAGGGCTGTATAAGATTTATCGCCGATTTTGATGAAGCTTTGTCGGTGATAATGTTTCGATGCTCCCCAGAAATCATCATCGCGGGAACAATGCCACGAAAATGCGGAGAAAGATGAAAGCTTTCAAACACCGAGGTCACACATAGGGTAGTAGAGTTGTATTGTCCCGATCGACCGAGTGATTAGTGAAATCGTGGGGGCGGAGTAGCATGAAGATAGTAGATAATTGAGATTAAATTAGTTTTCTGGTTATTATTGGCCAATTCTCAAGATAAATGATTCAAATAAATTATTACAATCTATAGATATATTCCCATACAGGCTTAGCCTTCACCGATAGAGCTATTAAGAGCGTCAAAATCAGACTTATAAGACGTAAATAGATTTGATTAAGTTCTATTAAGATTTCCCCCGCCAAATCTAAGCCTGTATAGCCATAGAGTTCCGGACTTGTACAACTTTCTGACCGCACGATATAAAGACTTTGTACACCTTCCAGCCAAACAAGTATGATATCTCCGAAAACCATTAATCTATACTGATAAGATGGATCACGGGATGGGATAAGACCTTCCCTACCCGGCGCTAACTTTGTAAATGAGGGGTACCGTATAAATACACTTATCGTGTAATGGGTTTAACCCGGTTGATTCAGACCCGGGGAAGTGAATACTATATATAATTGAAGAAGATAACAAGGTGAATGAATTTTGAGCAGGTATTAACGAATGGATCGAGAGAAAATAAAGATTTTTCTTATTAAAACTAGAGTACTCGTAAATACTAAAAGAAATAATTATATAATGTTTATAATTACAGGGTGTTAGAACGATGAGTAATTAGAGACTCTCAGTGCCGCCGAAACTATGGAGTAAATCGGCCTAAAAGGGGGGTTCCAAAGTAGATCCAATAACGAAGGACAGATTAGCTTGTTTATTTCAGCCTCTTTGAAGCTTTTAGTACGAGTCCAATTCAGGTGGATAACATCATCCTGCGTTCATCAATCTAGCCAAAGGTATATAAAACAAAGCAAAGGATTCCTATGATAGGCTGAAATATATGGAATGGTGGTGGCGCACATTAGAGAAAGCTCAAAGCTACTAAAGTACCAAGCACTCACATTCGTGTCTTTCTCCTCCGCCAAAAACCCAATAACTAATCACTTCATCATCCTCCTCCCCACCAACCCCAATCAATCTTAGCGGGACGGGACATCATCACCGAGGAACCACTGGTGGACTTACCACCAGCCTATACATTTGCTATTTTCAATAACCCCGCGTCTCACAAAAATCTTGACTACTAGGTAATGGTAACAGAACCCTCGTCTCTGCACTACGTACTTGTCAATTGTTTGATTGATGCCACCACCCCTCCTTCCCTCCTTCGCATTCTTCTCTTCAAGGTTCCTTTCGGATTTTAGACAACTACCTAGTAGATTTAGGATTTAAAATTTAGGTTTTAGGTTTTAGCTTAGATCTGCGCTCAATAAATGATATCTACTGACGGGGCGACCCATTCATTGATGCCGACTACTTAAACCCCCATCACCCGGACCCTCACCTTCTTTTCCATCTTCTCCTCCATCTCTTTTTTCACTCTTCAACTTTGCACAATCTCATCCAGATACCTCTATAAACATACCCATAGCAGTTACTTTTCATTGAATCAAATATATAATACCCATCATGACTTCAGTTCAACTCAAGACGCCACTCACTGGCGATTATACTCAACCCACTGGATTGTAGGTTATTTTACCCCGCATTCCAACATGTTCGGAACATCTACACGGCAATAAAAGCTAACAAGATTTTTCATCGTCACAGGTTCATCAACAATGAA